TGTAACCCTTCACTTATTTCGAAATCTTTTATGAAAATTTGGTTATTTGATTTGCGAAATTATTATTTAATTGAAATTGAATTTAAGGTGTTACACCTATTCTCTCTTAGTGGCAGTCTCAGTTCTTTCTTCAAGTGCAGTGGCTCCTCTTGGTTAAAGAAAATGAAAGAATGTAAAGGGATGGAAATAGAGTCTTAATGAAAAAGGATGGAATGAACAAGATTGACTTTATCCAAGCTCTCAATTATCTTAAGTGCAACTAGAAGGAAGCTGGAATGAGTTACAACTAAGTGGATAAGGGAGTCTTTTGGGGTTTTTTGATGCTTAAATGATGTGGTGTAAACAAGAAAAAAAAACATGCAAGCTTTGAGGTCCTTCAAGAATGGCGTGAAATGGTGGAGTTTTTGCTGAACTTTCGCAGTCTCTCGTGAAAGGTTAGATGCAAGGTGAATATCTTGGTATGGTGCAAGAAGGTCGATGCAAGTACAACCAAGATAGAAATTTGATTAGATGCAAGACATGCATGACATTCTATTCGTTTGGAGGGTGGTGACAGGACATGTGCAACATTTCTTTTTCTTGGGTCACTCACCATTTTGCCTTACACGGCCAAAGGAGATTAAAAGAGAATGGAAGGTTATTTCATTAGAGAATTTGTCATATGGTGATGGAGAAAGATGTAAGATAGTGCAACAACACAATGTAGGTGTATCTATCACGATATTTTTTTAGAAATGATCTATGACATGCTAAATAATTTATTTCAGTATAAAATTTTTGCATTAGAAAAAAAGATTAAAATTTGACAAAACGTGAAAGTCTAACATTCGGTAATAAAACAAGGCATTATAATGAAATTTTGAATATGACTATATATAATCATCCATTAACAATATTTACATCAGAGTTACTTGGCATGGAGCTCAAAATACAAATTTTTATAAACAATATCATTATTGAAGGCTGTAGCTAAATAGTCTAAACCCACTACTAAGACCTAGACTAACAAAATACATAAAGCTATAATCTTCACAAAAGCACTTAGACTCTAAACATCCTTCATCTAGACCTTCCAGTATGAGAAGTAGATGTCACACCTACTCACATACCACCGTATAATCATTGCAGCACATACATGCCAACACTAACAAGTGCAAGGGTAAACTTATATAACTAGCAGTAATTACTATAGAATATAAAAGTATCATAAATGTTTTATACAACTCATACAATTCTCAGCAATCAACACAATAGTTCAACTCATTCTCAGCTCATTTAATGCAAATGCAATATTTCAGTTCCAACTGGTTTTATAGCCTAAGTAATTCAGAGGGAACTATTTCTGGTCTGGGAGTGACCCATCCTGGTATTTGGATCCAAACATAGCACAACTCAATATTTCTATTGTTACATATCTAACTACCTAAACATGTAACTCGGCTCTAGAATGATAAAAATCAATATGATACAGTACAACTATATATATATATATATTCATTCAGTCTTAGCAGCACAGCCATGTACATATTTTCATAATAAAACTAAGCAACTCACAGTATTAATCAAATATTTCAGCATGTCATTTTCTACCAAGTATTCCAAACATTCATCAAACAAGAGAATAATCTACTCAATCATACATACTCTAGGTTTTAAATTCATTCATACAACAACTTATTCTCAGCTAAAACAAAATTATTTATATAAATATCTCAACATCTACGGAATGAACAGGGCTGACTCAAGTAAGCTCACATTACCTTAAATGGGTTTTCCTAATTCAGAATCTTCATGAGTCCCAACAAAGAAAACAAGTTCCAAGGGTCTCAGATCTCCTTAATATCACAAAATAGAAGACTTTTAAGGAGGAAAATCAAGAAATAAGAAGTAAAATAGGAGAACCAAGTCCTAAGAACTCACCTAGATCTGTACTTAATGAATGTTTGCTCTTGGATCGGGAAGAAGTTTGGCTTCAAGAAGATTTTCTCTAAGGGATGAAAGTGAGAGAACAGAAAAAAAATAAATGAGAAAGGAAGGCTATCTAGTGAGAAATGAACGTTTCTTTGCGTTTGGGTTCCTTAAATACTCTTCTAGGTCCATGCGTACTCGCTTGAGTGAGCTAACTCTCGTTTGAGGGAGCCCTACTCTCACCTGGACAAGCTTATCCTTGCTTGGGTAAGAAAACCAGACAGTGGAACTACCTAAATTTTTGCTATTTTTCCTTGAGCGAGAGAGATCTCGCTTGAGCAAGCAACATCCTTGCCTAAGCAAGATTGAATCCAGAGAGCTACCCAATTTTCCTAAAACTCCTTCCTTGAGCGAGTTGTTCTTTGCCTGAGTGAAGTTACTTCTCGCCTGAGTGAGATCCCTTCTCGCTTGGGCGAGAGAACAGTTAGGTAAGTCTTATCGTATCTAGCTTGAGCGAGAGTGAGACTGATCCCACTTGAGTGAGACTCAGTCTCTCTTGAGTGAGACACCCTACACCTAGAACTCCCAATCTCTTCCTGAATGAGGCAATACAAGTTCTCGGCTATAATCCCTAGGTTATCACATGCACAACACACTTAACAATCAATCTTTGACTCGCACTGCTAATCACATTCAACAACACCATCACACGACAATATGAATACACTACTCTTCATCCAACATGCCCAAAGTGCCATTTCAATTGGCTATATTCACTGAGGAAGGGAATAATTTTCTTTTCTAAGGAGCATTTGTATTACGGGTTGCAAGGTTTGTAAGTTTCATGCAGTTTCACACTAACCTCATAGGACGATTAATAAGAAAAAATGAAGGCCTAACATGGAAACCTAGATGAAAAAATTAGAGCAAGTCTAGCAAAAATTTAAAGGTGGAACATTTATGTGATTTTTACTTTTATTGAACAATAAAATTCAAGGATGCAACATTTTCACGATTTAAGAACTCTAAAGATGGGTCATTGTTCAAATATTACTAAAGATCTAATGTCTCATCCATAATTTAGTGTACATTCATTAATAATTAATTTAAAGCAACAACGAAGTCAATCATATACACTAGTAAAAATAAAAAGAAAAGAAGAAGATAAAAGGTAAGAGAAAAAGAGAAAAGAAAAAAATTCACCCACAAATTTCTCTAATTACATCTATATAAGTTAAGAAAAGCACAAGTGCTGGTTGAGGGGTGTTATCGGTGTCAACAGTAGCTTCAAAATCATCATTCAATAGGGGCAAAAATTTTAATCAATATAAGAGTTCTTTGAGTCCAAAAACAGTTGTGGCTCCCAGTAATACACAAAAATAATTTTTATTCACTCCATTGCAACTAATTTTGAGGAACTTTTGGAAGAGTTTGAGAAGTTAGATAAAGGTAAATTAATATATTTTTTACATGCTATTTCATTTCTTTGTAATAATTTAAAAACTAGTCATTATTAAAACTTTTTATTCCATTAATATTGTTATTATTACATAGAACTTTTACCATCTTGACAAGTAAACAAGGACAATTCAAATATTGAATATGATTAAAAGGTTCAATTTGGTATGAGTACTAGCATTACAAGACTTAAATTTAGATAATTTAACTTTTTTTAACTACATTTTTCATAATCACAGACATATTAATGCTAAATTGCATTGCATGACTTTTAGTTGCATTATGAAAAAAGAATAGACCAACAATAAATGAAAAATATTGAAAAAATTAGAAGACATAAACTGATTATGCATCGTTGTTGTGATTTTTTAGTGAGTTTTCAAGGATGCTAATTACATGTATTTATGTTTGATAAATTTGTATATATTATGTATGTGAATATTTAGATATGAAATACTTATTTGTGAGACATTTATATTTTTGCATTTGAATATAAATTATGCATTTATATAACAATTTGGAAATCTATTTATTGTGAGATTTTATATGTTTATGCACTTTGTATGTATTATGTTTATATAAATTGTGACAATAAGTATATAAAAATTAAAAATCAATTTAACCGACTCAAATCAAACCACATGTATTTGGACAATCTTTTACTTTAAAACCATACCAAACCCACACCACAAACATATCTTCTGTAAATCCTTGATCTTCTCCTATAATTAAAGATTGGAGAATATTCATAACAAAGAAATAAAAAAAATTCTCACAGTATGTTATCACGTGTCTTTTTATATATATCTTTTTGTTTTTATAGAGTTGTGTTTTTTTATATATATATATTTTACAATCTTATAAATATTTATATCAAATTAAACTAAAAATTTTCTTTTCAATTAAATAAATTAATCTCAATAAATGCTTAAATTTCTTGAAAGTGTAATGGTTAATTGTAAATCATAATTAAAATAATACTCAATTAATTATGTTAATTTCAAATATTTTTAAAATAAAAAATTAGCATTATGTGCTTATATTTAAATTATACTTTTATTTCTATAAACATTATCCTATTTGTTTTTTTAAATTTATATTTTTATTATATTTTCACTTACCAATATACATAAATATTTATTAGTTATGTTAAAATTATATTTGTATAATTTGAAGTTAAATGATTTAAATACTTTTACTCAGTAATTATATTGATTACTCTTGGAATTTGTAACGAATACACATTTTTATTTGATTTAGAAGTTGTATCTATAAGTTTTATTTTATATTATTGTGTAAATTATGTATAATATTTTTAAAAATAATAAAACAAAGAATGTGAAAAGAATGAAATGAAACTTTTGAAATAATGCTAACCTTATGACAAATTTCTTGTAATTATTCCTATTTTTAAAGTGTGAAGGATAAAAACATGTCTAGTAAACTTAGTTTTTTTAATTAATTTTTTTTATCTCTGTTTTTTTTAACATGCATTTAAAAAGTTGTATAATTAAAAATTAATGAATGATATAAAATGTACTGTTAATTGTACATAAAATTTTATTACATAATCTCATGCACACTTGAAAAATTTATTTGATTCTTTTATCTCATACATAGAAGAGACTAGAGTAGGGAGTGAGAGGGAGAAAAGAGTTTGGTTAAGAAGCGGCGGGCCACACGGTCTCTGGCTGAACCCTCTTCTTCCTAAATTCCCCCTTTCTCTAATCTTTCGTTCCGCAGTTTACATCAAAACGAAACGCATCACAATCCAAATTCCATAACCTCTTTATCTACGCACCGATTCGTCAAAATCAGAAACCCCCCTCTAATCCATGGATTCGTTCCAGCAACCTCACGGTTACATGAGGCCTCCACAACCGCCACCGCCGCCGCCGCACACGGCGGATCCCCACCACCACCAACACCACTTTCACCAGATACCTCCGCCACCTCCCCAAGCTCCTTGGTTCTCCACCCAATTTCAGTACCACCCTTCCCAAACCCCCTCCCCTCCGGCGCAGTGGTCTCAGCCTCCGCCGCCACCGCCGCCTCCTCCTCCGGCGAACCCCTATTCGTACCATCCCAGCCAGTTCCCTCCTCGTTCTCACTTGCCTCCACCTCAGTTCCCACATCACTCCCACGTTCCTCAGCCTTATCCTCAGGTGAAATTTCTTTCTTACCCTTGATGCTTCTGCGTCTTCTTTTCTTAGTACACTAGGGTTCTTCTTCTTTTTGTAATTTCCTTTGAATTGATTCTTCTTTTCTGCGTGAAAATTTTGTAGGAATGGAGCAACCCAAGCTGGCCCCATAACCAAGGCTATCCAGGTTAGTTGTTAATTATGTGCTTACGTAAGAAACGTTTTCTTATTTCGTACCAGAGTTAGGGTTTGGGTGTTTACTTTTGGCACATAAAAAGAAAAAACAAAGAATGAAAAGGGGCGCATTGTTTTTTGTCAGTTAGTTGATATATGACCATGTTATCTGGCCAAATACGTTGTGTTTATTTTTTGTCATTTTAAAAATGTGATTTGTCTTTGTGATTCATTTGCATATATTCTTGAAATTGTTGTGAGTTGTTCCTTTACACTGAATATTGAACGAGATAGATACTTGTGTGCGTATGTGGAAGTTGTGATCAAACATATATGCCACTTTTCAGTTGTCGTTTGCAACAAGTATTTGTGATAATTGGTTTGTCATGCTGTCATTCGATGATATGGTTTTGTGTTGCCTTGTGTGCGTGTGTGCCTCTGCATGCTTTAAAGTTATATGTGGCCTCTTGCAAATTTGATCCCCCAATTTTATATTCTTTTGTAATATTTTGGACATTATTTTGCTTGACATAATGATGTAATGGTAGCCCATAAGAATGAAGAAGATTGGGCTGCTAAAGCCAGGGCCTGGGCTGATGCTAAGGCTGCAATGGAAAATCAGCATCCACAATCACATTTTTCACCTGCTGGAAGATTACAAGAGCAAAGCCATTATCATGATCAGTATCAGCAATCTGTTGATTCACGTTATGCTGACGTTCAAAACCAATCTCATCCATCATCAACCTATCAACAATTTTCCTTCATGGATGCATCTGTGCAGCGGCTTTCAGGACATTCCCAGGAGGCTGCACCTGTCAGTTTGGAGGCATCTTATACATCAGATGGACATTCATACAGTGCTAGAGAGGGGACCGGTGTTGGAGATTTGACTATTTCATTCGAACAAGGAAACTTGTCAACAAATCCATCAGTTCATCAGCAGGAGGTACCTTCTAGTTATAGTTCTGTTGCAGGTAATTATTTATTTAGTATATTGAAATTGCAAGTGAAGCTTCTGTGGAAATGGCTCATAAATCAATATTCTAAAATTTGCCTGTACTGTAATAATTGTGATGTGAACCTGTCAAAGCTTGGTTCAAAGAGAATGGTAGTTGGAATTGCATGAATCAATTGATTCATGCAATTTGATGTGAGTCCTCACTCGTCAATACAGATTGCATAGAGTTTCTTTCTGTCATTGGAGTTGCACGCTGAATTGTTAGAAATGGGCCAGAATAATAGGAATCACAAATTTGTTGCTTCCAGCAATACAGATATTAGAGGGGCAATGTGGGATGCGTAACCAAGTTAGTTTTGAGTGGATGGTGTGGCTAGAATCATAATGGCTGAGAGGTCTGAAAAAATATTTGGTCATGCCATAACGTTACCTGGATTGATAGACACAGTGCCCCAGTGATTGGGGCATGTGATTTTGTTTATGCTCCAGGGATGACAAGCCTCTGGTGGTGGGATACTAGGATGGTCTGGCACAGACGGTGAGGGTGGTGGGAGGTGAAATACACTTCAGATCTGTAGATCTAAGGTGGACAGCTGCCAAGTTGAGAGAAACCCTGGGGACAGCTGAGAGAAAAAGAGTTTCGGTTGCAAAGTTCTAGTAATTAATATTTAAAGAGAGAAAATCATAAAAGAAATCCAATAATTAATGTATTGTACATATGAGGGAAATAAATTTATTATGTTCACTGATATACTTTGTTACTTAAGGTAATTGATCATGAATCTTATGATCCACAGTATTTTTTTATTAGCAATTCTCAAAATGGGTCTTCTGTTTTGTGATTTGATTTATGGTTTGATAGACACAAGAGAGACCCCCTTCAACCCCTCCCTTCATGTTATCTGTGCTATCTTTTTTAAACAAGTATGCTATCAGCCTATCACTATTCTTGTGTAACAAGTATGACTGTATAGATTATTTTTTTTGGATAGGATAAGAAATGTTATTATACAGTATAACAGATAAAGAGGAGTAGAGGATAAGGTATCTACTGAGAAAAAAATGCTGAAGACAAACAAAAAGGAAAAACACCCATAGGAAACACAAATACTAACACAGCCCAAGGACTGCCCATAATGTCTCCTCAGAACTAAGAAGCTATTTCCATTTTTTACAAAAAGTGAAAGCCTAGTGCTGAAGTTCCTATTATACCATTTCTGTACTATAGGTATTTGGCAACAATGCAACCTTTGTCTCCTCACCTAAGAGAACAACCAGCGTTATCCCCATTAAATCAAGAAGTGATTGCAGATCATAGAAATCACTTGCATAATTAAATCAAGAAGTGATTGTAGATCATAGAAATCACTTGCATAATTGCAATGCACCTACTAGAAATGACTTCTTCACTCAATGCCCTCACTTTAACCAGAATGTATCCACTTTTCAATATCTGGATGCAGAGTTGGCTTTTCAGAACCACTGTTAATAGAATTACATCCTAGAAGACTACTTTATTCTTGTTCCCTATGGGATCACCACAGCCACTTCACACTTGAAGTGTTGTTGACTGCAACACTGTTGTTGAGAAGAAAGCTACTTTACACCTTGTAAACTACCATGAAAGTCAAGACACTTCTTAATTATTTGTTAGTCAATTTTCCCATTAAAACATCTGGAAGAAAGAGTGATAAACTGGACGACGTTGATTTTTTTGTGTGTTTTGATGCCACTTGGACTTGCCTTTGTCATTCAAAATAATAGATCTGAAGTTGTTTTAACAGAAGGTTTATTTTCTTGGTTTGAAATATTAGGAACCGTGTGAAACTGCCGATACTTATCATATCAGTGGTCATTTAATTTGAAAAAAATCTTTAGTTTTTATTTTCTGTTTCAACATTTAATTACAAAAATGTCTCCTTGTTTTCCACGTTTTTTGTTTTTAATAGTTTGAATAGGACTCAGTGAAATTGTTTTGGGCATTAAATTGAAATTATGGATGCCTAAAAGTTTGTTCCTATACAAACTCTTAAAAAATAGGAAACAAAGTGAAAACAAGCTGACATTTTTGTAATTAATGCTATGTTTGGAATTTGGATGAGAGGAAAGAGAATATGATAACTAATGACATTTTTATAAAATAGTTGACTTTTAGAAACAAATTTCAATTTTTCTCTCTTCTCATTTTCTTTCCTTTGAAGTTTGATCCAAACATAGGGTAAAAGTGGAAACAAAATAAAACTGAAGATTTTTTCAAACTGAACAGTCCCTTATATTGTTTCTATGTGAAGCACTTGAGATGAGGACTGGGTGTCCCAAGTTGGAAATGGTTGCATGTTGGCTGTGACTTGCCACCATCCAAGTGATTACTAATAATAAGGTATATTTATATACTGATTCATAATTCCTGATGAAGTATCTATCGTAAGTAATGATTGAGCAATACCCTTTAATTACTTAATTGTACCCTATTACTTAGCTAATAATTGAACAAGTTGTTTATGAGAGGTGTCTGCTTAGTATTTTTATGTCAGCCATCTTGTATCCTGGGCATTATTTGGATATAGGGGTTGTGGGGAAACCTATATCTTGCATAGCAGTGCATTGCCTTATCTACAATAATCACCTCATCTTCACTCATTTACTCAGGACCTGGTCAGGCAATGGGTGCATTATTCCATCCTCCCATCATTTATGCTGGTTTGTGTCCTTGTGATAAGTAGCATGCATAGTTATAATACTAAAATGTTGTCTTTCTAAACATTGAGTGGGAGAACTGCTTGTAGGAATTATCACTGAGAAAGATTTTCTCAAAGATTACTGAAATTTTTGTAGCTTTGATGAATGTATGCATGCCCTTGGACAGCATAATTGTAGGTCTTTGGGGACTACAATTTGAATTTCAATGCTTCCTGTCTTCTCTTATTTATTTTCCCATGTTCAATCTAAATATTGACTTACAGGTAAAGAGGCTGCTGATCAGATTCAACAATCATACTCAGTATTTCCTTTATCAAGTTCCTCATCTCAAGAACAGCGACATGTGCAACCATCAATGCATGCACCACCCTTTGTATCTGGCAGCCATTCAGTTGAGTCAGCCGTCAGTCTTGCTGATCAACCATTAGATTTTGCACCTAGGTTTAGTCGTGATAGTGACATTCAAATGCAGTCAACTTATAATCATCATGATTCTAGTACTTCAATGAATAACTGGGCTGCTTCTGTGGCACCTGGTGTTGGTTATCCACCAATAGCTCCAATTCTTTCCTCTGGGCCACAGGTTTCAAATTTAACACTTTGGTTTTCTAGTCTACTTATGTTTCTTTTAATGTGCTTGACACTTAGTTAATTTAGCAGCATGATTCTTCTATTACCACTCCTGGTCATGTGGCACCACCATTTGGAAGGTTTCCTGGTCCTGGCCTCCCTTCAACTATACCACCAAGCGGTGCACCCTTTACCCTTAGTACAGGAACTACAGTTCATCCTACTGTGGCTTTCTCTGCTGATGCATATGGGGTCTCTGGCATTCCTGATCGTCCTAAGAAGGTAAGTATATTGCAGAACTTAATGCTTGGATAGATACACGTGATGAAACCTCATTTTGTGGTTATTCTTCAGGCTTCTGTCCCTAATTGGCTTAGAGATGAAATAAAGAAAACAGTCATTACTGCTTCTTCCGTAGAGCATTTGAAAGAGGAAACCACATTGGTAAATGATGGTAATGATAAGTCATATTTGAAAGGTGATGAGAGTCATGAGACAGATAGTAAAAGCATTGATTCATCTAGATCAGCTGAGGATGAGGAGGATGAAGAGGTTTCACTTTTTACTACTGAAGTTTCCTTATACAAAATAAGTTCTTTTACGTATATTTTAGTTTTGTTATTGAATGTTCATTTTCTACTTTGGATTTAGTATGACACATATTTGATATGTAGGATCAAGTTGAAGCAGCTAGAACTGCAGCAATCAACCAAGAAATAAAGAGAGTTCTCACTGAAGTTCTTTTGAAGGTAAGCTTGTTTGAAACACAAATTGTTATCATTTATGTCTGTGTGCTGTCTGTACCAGAGAAAAAAAGTATGTTGTAGTTCTAATTACAGCTTCTTCTTAGGTTACTGATGAATTGTTCGATGAAATTGCAACCAAAGTTCTTACTGAAGACAATCTGACTACTGAAGGTATTTGTCTGACGTCTCTAATTTTCTCTTAAATGATGTGTCTATATAGATGATTTTATGCTAATGGTGGCGTATTAAAAAATTTACGTTCTAACAATTTGTTTTCTGCAGTGGGTCATAATGTTGTCACTTCCAACCATATGGCATCAGAATCTCCACCCACAGCTCCTGTTCCCAAGGCCTCTGCAAAGGTCTTAGTTCCAGTCAAAGAGAAGGAATTAGAAAATGATGCTGTGAGTGAAAAATCTAATTCCATCTCTCCTGGGGATGTTTTAGGTCTTGGAAATTATGGTTCTGATGCTGATGATGGAGACGATGAAATTGAGAGTTCCAGTGTGACAACTCCTGCAAATGATGCTGCCTATCAGCCAGGAGTTAACAAACCCTTGGCAGATATGCATGATATACCTGTTAATAGCAGTTCACAACTTGAAGAGCATAATTTGGTCAGTAATATGGTCAAGACCAGCTCATTACTACCATCCAGAAATAGCAATGGTGCTGCTACTGAGCAATTGCATGATGTTAAGGGGACCAATGAATTTGATCATTCACGTTCTTCCAAGGTGGTTTCTGAAGATATTAAAGATAATGGGCATAATGCTATAGAAAGAAGCCACAATAGGCTTAATGGCTTTAGTTCTAAAGATAATTCAGGGATACAAAGATCTCAACTGCCTGGAAGGAATGTTAGCGTGGAAAAAGCAACAGATGATCATCCAGGTAGAGAAAGCAGAAGAAAATCAGAAAAAAATGATCGGCCTGACAGGAGTACTTCTGAGAAAGGCTTTGTTAAGGAGGTACGTAGTAGTAAGACTGGAACAGATGAAAAAGGTAATGAAAATCATAGAAGAAAGGATGAAAGATATCAGAAAAAGGAAAAATCCGATAATGGCAGTGAAGTTAAAGAAAGAATGAAAGATCACAGTTCAAGGCATGGGGAGAAGACAAAGGAATCAGTGTCAAGAAAAAGATCCTCTCATGTTGATGTCAAGGATGATAGGAAGGAAGCAGAAAAAGCCCGTAGAGCTAGTGGCGCTGAAGATACTATCCGCAAAAAGGAACATGCGAAGGATAAGGGGGAACATAAATCAAGGCAGAAAGATGGAAGTACTTCTGACCGGCACAAAAGACGACGTTCATCTTCAGTAAGCAGTAGAGGTAGAATCAGCAAGGATCACTTGATTAATCATGCTGGTGATTCAAGTGGTGAAGGCTCAGATGGCTCAAGAAGGTTTAAAACAAATTCCATTTGTCCCTCATTTGTCTGGTTGTCATCTAGTGTCTCATATCATTTTTGTAATGCAGGAAGCTGCATTCAAGAAAACGTGATTTATCACCGTCTCCAGTCAGGTCTAAAAGAAGGTATTTTTTAAGTGATTCCTTACTTTGTTCAGGTTTGCAATATTGAAGTTTGGGTGTGTTAAGCATCTTGCAGATGTTGAGATGAGCTGTCTTCCTGTTTCACATATAATATCTTTTGATCACAGTAATTATAGTAATTCTCACTTGGTTTGTGACTTTATAGTGTGTTGATTTTTCTTGGTGGTTATTAATAGAAACTTGGTATTTATCGAATTGGTTTTCTTAGTTATTGTGTGTAAATTTGAATCTTAGTACCATGGACAAAATTAGGATAGATAGTCTAATAGTCATATTACCACTCTTTACTTTCTCTGTGTCTGTGTTTGAACTTCTATGATGACACTTCCTCCACCTTTTCTGCACTGTCCTTAAATGATTTCAGCTCTTGTTCAATCTTCTCACGACTTGAGGGCCTGGGGCTTAATTGCTTGCTTCCGGCAATCTTGTGACTATATCTGTATCTTACTATCTCAATGGCCAGAAAGTTCAATATTTGTGTCTGCATTGTTTTCGGATTTTAACTTTGGCCCTCTAACAGCTTTTATGTATTTTTCCTCTTGTTTGCGTGATAAGAAATTTTTATTTGTATATCAATTCATGTTTTTATACTTTTATGATTTTGCCAGTTTGAGGATTCTGAAACTGATACCATCACCATGTCACAGAATCAATCATTTAGGTCATTTTTTAGTTGAAGTTAACTTGTTGCATGTTAAATGGAATTTTTTCTTACTGTTCAAGCAAATGTAGTGATCCTATTTTCATGCGTCCTTTTGTCGACTCTGTTTTGTCAATTTATCTATCTTCAATTTATTACAAGACATTAGAGAAGAGGGAGAACCATTTAATTTTGTGCACAAATTTGTGGCATTTGTTTATCCATAATTGGAAGGATATCTGTACCCTGAATCTAACCAGCATAGAGAGTATGTCAGTGGTACATTTGTAGTGTCTGGTTGGTAAACTTTTGATTGTATCTTCTTATCTAATTCTTGAGAAACAGATAAGATTTATGGTAATAGGCTGCTTCTAATGGAGCATTGACACTAGACCAGGTTGAGTTGTATTTATGAACTTTGTATACTTTAAACTCACCAAGCCAGTACGGTGGTTTCATTTTTAGACAAGTTTCGCGGTCTCCTCATAGCAAGCGTTCTCAGCGCAGGCATTCTCCCTATTCTTCTCTTGATACTTCCAGGTTTGTTGCCATAAAGTTTTTCAAGATTAAGATTTATGTTTTTGAGACAAACTTCCATCATCATATAAGAATAAGCTGCACAGGTGAATTTGTCAGGCTTCATGGTTTACCTTACAATGGTGCCTTGTTTATTTACGGTGTTTCCTTTTAATGCAGGGGAAGGAGGTCAAGATCCAGATCTCCTGTTCGGCGGCAAAGATGACTGATGTGGACAGAAATGATTGTCATTGCATCTACCAGGATCATACAATAGAACATAAGTATAAAAGTGTCCAGTGAAGCTTGTGATGTTCAGTGTTCACAGGGACTGTTGAGGAGGATTAATTGGCAGCCATGACTCTTCTTTATCCATTTTTGTAGGTTCTATGTACCGATACTGTTCGTTTCCTGGTTTGCTATTGGAGAAGAGTTGGATCTGTGCTGTAATGTTTGAATGTATAAAAAAGAAGCTGAAGATAGATTTATCTTCATTAGAATTCTGGTATGTATTTAAATGCTGGCAGTATCATAGTTTGCACTGACAAATTCAATTAATGGGTAAATCAAATTTTGCTGGAACCGTTAGCTGAATGGTTGATTAACAAATTAATTTGCTACCCGCTTGTGTTCTTTTAATTCGTTGTTAATACACGAGTTGAGCGGAGAGTCCTGGTTGTTACCTATCATAAGTCTAAGGTTAAGAAAGCACCGTGCTTAGAATTATATTTTAGATTATTGATTATGTGGGTGACTAATGAGCCATGTCATCTCAGTTCGGACTTTTGTTTGATGATTGTTGGATCATCAAAATGTTGTGTGGAAATCGTGAGGAAGCTTCAATTCTAATTTGAGAATTCTATTCCTTTATTTATTATTAGGAATGTTTATTATTTTTGTGTCTCTATTATCACTTTTATTTACATAATTTTTATTTAAAATATTTTTATTATTAATATGGTTATTAGAGGGAAAAAAAGACATTTTAGATAAAATTACATAAATTGCTAATTCCCTTACCTGGGGCTTATTTCTCTAAAATTTATTAGGCCATTTAGAATCACAACATTCTTTCTTATAAATCTTTTGATTTTTTTTTTTTTTCTAATTCACCAATGTGAAACTTTATTATCTTTAACATTCTGCCTTGAGTTAGACTAAAATTTGACCTAGTTGTGACTTACATTTTAACATCTATTTTTAAAGTTTCAAGTTTTGGAACTTTATCTCAAATCTCTCTCTTTATGCCCGTTTGAGCTTATTTTTCTTTTATTATTTTAATGTCACATGTTTATTATTCTGTTTTCTATTTGACTTCTTTTTTTGTCTTTCATTTTTGTGGACTTGGGCTCTAATACCATATTAAGATTTTTGGTGTTGTCTCAATTTAAGAGTATGAGAAAGTGAACTTTTAAGCTTAAGTGACCTATTTTTCTAAAATATTTTAGACAATTTAGACTCATGACACTATTGATCATATATATTTTAATTTGTTCTTAATTTATTAATATAAAATTTCATTATCTTAATACTAACTACTTTATCATCCTCATCATCTTCCTCTTCTATTTTAGAACTACATTTCATTTCATAACTATCTATTACAACCAACATTCTTGATTCACCCAAAATTCATTATTATTAGAACTAGTAGAATTGAGTTAGAAAAATTCAACTTTATTTATATAACGCCCCGAATTTTGTAACTCTGATTTAATTATTAATATAAGTGTGTATTGTTATTTAAATATACATTTGGAGTTATATTGGTGATGAATATATATATATATATATATATATATATATATATATATATATATACCTATGTTGTGGTTGAACTGTGAATGTTGACTTGTGATTGGATTGAAAAATGCTTGAGAGTATAAGTTTATATGATGTTGTATAGGTATTCTCATTGTAGCAAGATTATGCAGAAAACAAATGCATTTTTGTATGATATGTTTGCTTTAGCAAGAATGTTGAGACTCTTAAGGTATTTGAGAGTTTTAAGATTGGGGAAACACATTTCTTCACTTCCCTTCCATCTTTCTCTCGTTTTTCTCAATTCCTAACCCTATTCCACCGATTAAAGGGCCTCTAACACTGTTGGTGCTCTAGATTGAAGGTTGTGATTGCGTTTTGGACGTTTTGAGGTAAGTTTCATGAGTTAGGGTTTTCGTTTTAACTCCTCTTTCATTCTTCTCGATTTCTCATGGATTATCCCATGTATTTAGGACGACAATTCGTATAAAAAGCATTTTTACCGTTGATTTCGTAGTGGGTCTTCATTCCAAGGTAAAGGGGGCCTCTACCCTATCTCCTTGTGTTTAAAATTTGTTTACATTGTTAGGTATTGGAATGTGGTTGAGATAGAATGTAAGAAATTGTGTGTTTGAGTATGATGTAACTGAATATGTGCATACATGTCATGTGTGAAAATGATTACCATGATACAATTGAGAATGTGCGTAAATGTGTGTGAATAGCATGTTAATTTTGATTGTAGTTTGTTTGGAATGATTAAAAAACTATGAATAGTTACAGCGATACACTGGAAGTGTAGAAGAAAAAGGATAGTGGTGACACCAACAGTGAGCGTGAGTACACCACATGCCACACACTTTTCTCTTGACTCAGCCTCTGACCAATACCTTTGCTAAAGGGTTTGTAACCACACACATTGTATCCATGAGGTGGGGGCTAACTGACAACCATTCATTGTATGAAACTGAGTAAGTTCTTGAAGTTGAGAGCATCAGTAAACTGTGATCACAGTGCCACAGTGAATGTAATTAATGTGCAGTGAGCGCACGTGTGTATGTGAATTAATTAAAGGTGCAGTGAGCGCACCTTTGTATGCTTGTTGTGTGGTGATTATTATGTGGTCTGATTGCGTGGTGAATGTAACCATTTGTATACTTGTTTAATACATAATTTACTTAAATTTAGAAATGTTTGAAATATGCAAGGTGAGTTTTCCTGCGTATAGGTGTAATAGTGTCGATGACTCATCCTTACATTTTATTTTTTAGGTGACCGAGATGATTAACACCAAGCTTAGATTTTATTTTGAAAATTGTAATTTGTTAAATAAGTCGTGTAGCATTTATTTTGATCGAAATTGTAATTCATCCCATATTTTGAAATACTTTATTGGAACATTATACGTGAAATTATTTCAAATGAAATTTTTTATCATTTCCTTTAAATTGTGAAAATATTTTATTGAAAATAAATAAGGCGTTACAAATCACCGTTGACTCCCTTCCTAAAAAACACCCAATCATTATATTTTTATGACCATTCATTGTAATATCACCACAAATGTCAATACATCACCTCTTAGTTGTAATTATTGTTACTTTATATTTTCTTTCAAAACCTCACTGTTACCATTGACACACAGCTACCATGCTAAACTAACCATGATTTTCAAAAAATTCATCAATTTAGTGATGACATGTCATTTTAGCATGGTCATTAGTTGGTTCTATTTTCTAGTTCCAATGATGGTAAATTTTGGGTGAGTGACTATATTTGGTTGTGGTAAATAATGATGAAATGTAGTTCTAAAATAGAGGAGAAAGATGATGAGGATAAGAAAATAAAAATTGATTGAAGATTATAAGAATTAACTTATAAAAGATTTTTTCAGAAACTAAATTGATTTGTTTCGTTAAAGATTTTTTTAAAAATTATATAATTAGTTAGAAATTTTTTAGAAATCAAATTGACATTTTCTAACTGTAGAGTATTTGGAAAATAAATTAATAAGTTTTGAGGAAAATAAATTTTGATCCACGTTACTTTGTCACATGATTAAATTTTATATCACGTTAACTTATCTATTAGAACAATTAATATCTATGTGATAACAAAGACTATAATAATCAATAATTGCATACGTTGAGAATTAAAATGAGATTTTTGCTTAATTTAGAGAATTTGATAAACTTTAAAAACAATGGAAAAATAATGATAGTTTACTCGATATTTTGAAGCCTAAAGTAGCAATTGGACATACATACAATTGTTGGATATAGCTGAAGGATATGCTTGATCCTTACCAACTGTGCTGTCTCTTTAAATGCTTTTTCAATAGCTCAATTAGTTGGTATTTGATTTACACTTTGTTTTGTTGACTCTCAAATTTTCTCAGAACAGAGCAACACTAACTAACTGGTCTCTCAAGACCCAACTAAGATTATTCTGGTTTGTTGTAATATGTTAACATAAGAAATACTGTTTTCTAGTTTCATACCGAAGTTAGGGTTCTGATGTTAATTATTAAGTTCACTAAAAAAGTAGAGTTGAGGGTTTTCAATGTTAGAGGCAAGCATATAGCAATATTTCAACTAGACCACCAAAAGAATTATACAAGACTGAAACCATCGCAACTATAAGATCTAGAAATCTATATTAAGTTCGCAACAATTCAACTAACAATAATATAATTACTCTTATCACCAACAAAATAATAAAGTTAAGACCACAAAAAAATAATAATGAGTGTCTAGAAAAATAATAATAAGTTCATATCATAAAATATAAATGTTGCAGTGTAATACTAGGGTAGAGTTAAAATTTGCGTTGAAATGTGCTTTGATGCAAAAATAAAAAATAAATTTTTTTTTTCTCCTTTTGTTTTGTTTTAGAATTGAATAGAATTAATTTTGAATCATAGATAAACTTGAGTTAAAATTGATGTTAACCGTAAACTTTTATCGCAATATGTATTTTTTATTGAAGGGTGCGTGAATTAATTTTTCATCTATAAATCAAATATTACTATATAGATAAGTTGAAGGGGGATAATCAAGGTATGTTTTTGGTTAAAATGAACTTAAGATTAAACAATTGATTAACTGTAACTAGGTTGCCAATTTGCATGTTTCTGCGTTTGTTTAACCACCTTAGCAGCGTTAAAGTGAATAGCTATATTTGTGTCTCCTTTACGCATGCATTTGATAATGGCCACATGCCATTCGTGATTTCGTGAAGCAGAAAACTTGCAACACCATTGAACTTCATTAAGTTGTATTTTACTCTTGAAATGAGTTTATATTTTCAATAAATAAAATAACGTAAACAAAAACTGCTATCCTAGTTTGACTTTTGACTATCTTCTCATAACATCCGAATTCAACGTCTAAGAGAAAGGAGAAAGCGTATTTCTTTTCTCTGTTATTTAATTCACAATTCTTGTTACTTCCGGGCCTTGGAGGACGCCAACGTGCTTGTTACGTCAAATTTCACATGTCTTTGTAGTGGGTTTGTTACAGATGCATGTTTTCTTTCTTTCAGGTAAAGCATCACTCATTCTCTTCTATAACCCATGAAGTGCTGACAGAAAAAAAGATCAGAATTTTCTCAGTAATCAAGCCATGAAGGTCCTCTTTTATGTTCTTTGGACTGCGTTCTTCAATGTCTTTCAAAAACGTGTTAATCTTGTATTTTTTATTGACAGGTATCTCAGCTTGAGCTCTGGTCAGTCTGGCTATCTGGGTTTGTTTTGATTGTTCTCTCTCTATATGCTACTCAGAGATTACCTTCATTCAAGGATCATAGCAGAACTTCCAAGTTCAACAAAAATGCTATTTTGGATTCGACAAGTGTTAGTATTACCATATTCACAGCTCCTAAACCGTTTAAGGGCTCTACTGGGATTAGACAGACACTGGCTGTTCGGTCATGGTTGGCTCTCTCTCCTTATGTCACAGTTGTTTTGTATAGTCAAGATCCTTCTGTTGCCTCTTTTGCCAGTGCTTTTGATTCCCGGGTTTTAGTTGATACTGACATTGATTTCACGTAAGTAAACTGGCCTTGATCATGTGCTAGAGGATAGTATTCAATTATTCCTAATTGATATTCATTGTAGAAATTGCTATTCTAGTTGCTGTATTGCATTACTCAAGGTCATTAATTTTTTTGTTTTAACTAATTATGTTATGACTAAAGTTCTGCCAGTTACAAAGTTTGACTTGCTTATGTGATTGACCAATTTAGACTTCCAGTGAACAAATAGTACAAAATAAAAAATTGTTAAGATTGATTTTTATTAAATCTCGTGTAAGCCAATGAACAGCATCATATGACATTCTAGTTTAATAGTAGTAGTAGTAAAGCATGGTGATGAATTTATTGGTATTGGTTATGTAATTGAATAAATGAGCCAAGTAAATATGTTGCCTAATGTACAAAGAAAGATCTTACGCTACTGCTTTCTAATTTATGTTCTAGTTCATGCAGGTTCCTTGGTACTCCTTTTTTCCATTCCATGATTGAAAAATCTCGCTCATACACAACAGAGATATCTGTTATAATTGATCCTCAAACTGTTATCCTCTCTGGATTCCTCTCCACCTTAAATCATGTGTATGAACTTGACCATGATTGGCTTCTTGTTGCTTCGGCTCAAAATGTATCTTACTTTCCATTCCATTTGGATGAATCTGGGAAACATTGGCAAACAGACACTGGGAAACAGGTGAAGATCCAGGAGGTATGAACATCTTTCAATGGTCTGAGAGAATACACACTGCAAACACTTGTAAACTCCTTATCCACTGTCAATTTTTATGCTCCAAAGAGCTATATTGAATTGTCCCTATTCTTCAGCTGCAGAAAATACTTCAACATAATTCACAGTGGAATCATTGTTACACAAGAATGCTCATGGCATGGAACAGCAAGGATATGCCTCTACATAATGGAGTTCTTCCACCTTTCTTGTTTGGTAAGGGTATACACAACAGTTGGGTAATTCATGAGGCCATGTCATCTGAGTTCAGATTTGTGTTTGACGCTAGTTGGACCATCACAAGTTTCCATCTGAATGGGGATTTTAATCCTCCATTTGGGAATTCTAGTGCTAAGGATTTTGAAAATAGAAATTGGGAGTATATTGGCAATTCCCATATAGGGTCACACTATGGATCATTCTTCTATTGTGAAGCGAATTACTCTAGCCTAGTCAAACTCTTGAAGTGTAATAACCAATACATTATGGTTGACACCAAGAAAAACATGGTTTATCCAATTGGACAGCAAGGTGCAATAAACCAAATGAAGGAAAGGATTTTTCCATCTTGGTTAAAGGAGAATACAATGTATTGCATTGATAATCTGAAATCAGAGACCAGATCATTAGATTGCTCTCTGAAGAATCACATGAAAATTCAAGCAACTTTGGAACTCCAATTCTCCTTAGAATCACTCCTTTCTTTCACTGCAGACAAAACTAAAACAATTATTCTTACCATTGCTGGATATAGCTACAAGGATATGCTCATGAGTTGGGTTTGCAGATTACGAAAACTGTCCATTGAAAATTTTATTGTGTGCGCCCTTGACCAGGAAACTTATCAATTTTCCATCCTGCAGGTATGTGCTGACTTTGTCTGTAAAAACAATATTTGTACAAGCATCTATTATTTAAATCAATAAAGGGTTTTCTTCAGCGTCTTATGTTGGTCTTTTGACACTTTTACAGTGCACGTAATAGGAAAGTTTAGGCTTTGTATCCGCTAATAAGAGGACCAATCAACTGATCTTGTTATGACCACTTTTTTTTTTTTTCTTGAATCTTGGATACAGGGAATGCTTGCTAGTTTTATCCTTTTCCCCCCTTCTTGCGGGTATCAGATCCCTACTTAAAATTCTAGACAAATAACAATAGACCTCTTAAATTCTTAATGCTAATTCTTCCATATGGATCTTCTTTACGGGCTTGCAAATGATTTTGCAAATTCTTAAAACAAAAAGAAGGCAATTGGATCCATATATTTCAATATGCTTTGGAAAATATACATTCGCTTTGTTTATACTAACATACTATGTGAAGTTTATGAAGAAATATAAGAAACCAATCAATCATTGTTGTTGTTAGTACATATAATTTATGATGGTCAAATGGAAAATTGGTAATGCATGTTATTATACCATCAGTGATTCGTTAGTTCTACCTTGTTTCGAATGTTTCCATTACCTAAATGTTCTTAAAGCTTAATTAACTATTTCATTGTAGACATCATAAATTTTGTATCTGAATTCAATTTTCCTCTTTATGCTATGATAGGGAATTCCCGTTTTCAATGACCCAATAGCTCCAAGTAACATCAGTTTTGATGACTGCCACTTTGGATCTAAGTGTTTCCAAAGGGTGACAAAAGTGAAGTCCAGGATTGTTTTGAAGATTCTCAAGCTAGGTTACAATGTACTTCTTAGTGATGTTGATGTATATTGGTTCAGAAGCCCAGTTCACTTGCTGCATTCTTTCGGCCCTGCAGTTCTTGCTGCACAGTCTGATGAATTCCAAAATGAAGGTCCTTATTCATTTCTCTCACTTTTGAAATTCATATGCTTTTTCCTGAGTAGGAGCATAAAAAAACATATATATAATCTATGATTTGAGTAAGAACAGTGTATAAATATAAATATATCTGCTTAACCTATAAATGCAATTTCCAATATATCTTCATTTACTCTGCATTTGAAAAAAGGTTTTGATATAAGATGAATTTCTATTCTTTTCCTCCCTTTTGACAAAGATTATTTTGCACTTTTCTTTCGTTGTCATTTGTACAGGACCAATAAACCTACCAAGACGCTTGAACTCTGGTTTCTATTATGCTCATTCAGATATTCAAACCATTGCTGCTATAGAGAAAGTGGTGAGGCATGCAGAAACTTCAGGCTTATCTGAGCAGCCAAGCTTCTATGACACATTGTGTGGTAAAGGAGGATCCAACCGCGTCGGAGATAACAAATGTGTGGAGCCTGAAACAAACTTGACAGTACATTTCTTAGACAGAGACCTTTTCCCAAATGGTGCTTACCAAGACCTGTGGCAGGAAAAAAATGTCAAAGAAGCATGTTTGAAGAAGAGATGTTACATTATCCACAACAATTGGATAAGTGGGAGACTGAAGAAACTGGAACGCCAAGTCTTGTCTGGTTTATGGGAGTATGATCCAGGCACAAGAATGTGTATGCAAAGCTGGCACAGTATCAAACCGTGAAGTTAATTTTGAGGAAACAGTGGATACCTTCTTATCTACTATAGGAAAAGCTTTGTCCTCACTCCAATAAAAAATCAAACAAAAGCCATTCCTTTCCCTTTGTTTGCACATGTACCAAGTCTAGGATTCATCACCACCTCATGGATTGAAACACTAAATTATACATAGCCGGCCTTAGGAAACTATGAAGCATCTTATGTTGCACTCTTTAAATGTTGTTGAAATCGCTCACGCTCTTCCGCTACCCAACGTATCTTCTGAAAGACGATGGTGAAACGCTTAGACTGCACTTTTTTCAGTTGCAGGCTATGCTGAAGCGTGTTGGTCTTTCCTTAGGCCTTGTAGAACACAGTGATAAAGATTTAAGAAGAAAAAACCGTCTGAAAGAAAGCAAGGCGTCGCCGGAATTCAGTTCACAATCAAAGAACTTTGTTGTGAGGATAACTCATGCAGGTGGTCATCAAGAGCTGTATAGACATGCAGTTCCTGCATCTACATTGATGACAAAGTATCCAGGTATGTGTGTTGCAAGGCCAGAAGTCTTCAAAGTTCCTCATCAATCAGTGTTATGGCACGAAGATCTTTTGCTGCCAGGTCACAAGTATATCTTGATATCGTTTAGAGATGTGGAGAAGCTGAAACGTAAGCATGAAGAGCAAGGAGATACCAAAGAGCCTAATGGGGTGGTGGACATAGAGATGCTGAACACAAAGGCAAGGTCTCCTAGTGAACACAAACATAACGAGAATGACATGATCAAAGTGTCAAATGGGTTTGCAGTCATTGAGACTTTGGATGCAAAGATCACAAGGTCTCCTAAAGAAAATTGCAAAATGAGAGAGCCAAATGGGGTTTCAGGCCAAGGAGTGTTAGAAACAAGGACTACTCTGTCTCCAAGTAAAGTCAGAGAGGGAAAAGATTTAGGTGAAGAGATAGTGAACACAAACATGGATAGATCTCAAAGTGAAGGAGTTGTAGAGGGCAACACTTTTTATTCTGCAAAGGACTTCTATGTTCCTAAGGAGATTTCTACAAGAACTTCAAGACGAAAAGGAATTAAAGGGAAGAAGCCTTTTGTGCCACCCCTTCCAAAGGCAAGAGTTTATCGGAGTTTGGGATGGCAACCCAGCCTCCCTACTGTGAAGGAGCTTTCTCCTTGATTTTGTATTGGTTTTCCTTTGTATGGCTCCTATTCTGATCTGGTACTGTGCGTTCCAATTCAATTTTTAATCCCTCTTCATGGATATTAATAGATAGCTTTCACATCCCATAATAAAATCGAAATATTTTCCCCACTAGTTTTCTCAATTATGTTGTTTGCTTTTGCGTAAGGAACCTTAGCATATATATTAGATAATGGGAGAAAAGAAAAACTGCTGACATAACTTTTCATAGATCTAGCAACAGAAATAAAATTTTGAGTTATTTTCGTTCTTCTACCCTTATTTATCTTGATCATTCCCTTAGAATCCATATATCTCCATAACCTCTCTATAGTCATTATTAATAGGCAGCTTTACCTTTTCATGTATTGGCTGCGGATAGCTTCGGCTCAGTTCTTGAGCTATGTCGTTGATTTTGTTTGGAAATTGATGATACTAATTTCACTACATGGCTTAAAACAAGAAATGTGAACCTTCTAATAAAATTAATACTTCACATCCTTTTAGTTGTTATGACTGCATTCCACATAGCCCCCAGAGTCTAAGGATTTATTTGTTTTACTTTTAAAATCAATTCCTCTCATTGTGCAGCATTCCAATACATAATCTATGGCCCAAATGATTTTGAACACATCTAAATTATGTTTTCCACTTCAAAGTGTTTGTTTGAATAATCTCTCGAACGGGATTTATACACTTCTAAATGCACTTTATGCAAAAAGAAGTTCCAAAGTCAATCTTACCAAAATCAATTTTACTCGATAAATACAAATGGCCTGCTTAATTTAGTTTTGCAGGCCCTTGAAACAGAGTTTGTACTGAAGCAACTATTTTTTACTTTCAAAAGAAGTGCGTCGATAGTCATGTTTCTCCGTGCAAAAGGTAAGACATACAGCCGCTATATTTCAGAAACAAAAGGTCATGCATGTTAATGTTTCTTACCTAATTCGGTTCTATTCATGGGATGTATCATGTATAGCTCTTGTACGTTTTTCATACCACTATATTGTTCTAACAAAACTGGTCGACTTCAAGAACCTTATTGGAAAAACCGGTTTATGCCCTTTGAATCTCAGCTCTATATCGAAGAATGTTTTCAACAAGTGGATTTTAAGCAAAGATAAGGCCAAATGGTTAAAATGAATCTATTAAGTACATACGTCTGATTTTTACCAATATTATTGATGAATCTAAAAGGACTGCTAAGTGTTTTAAACTTAGCTAGATAATAGTTTGGTCTAGCAACGCTGGAGCTGACAAATTCTTCACTCATTTGCTCGCTTATTAAGTTTCCCCTCCGAGATTAAATGAACAGAAGCAATCACAGGCTTGACATCCGAACATAAAAGATTCATCCCTTGCCAATTGAGTTAAAGAGCATGCTAACCAAGATGCCTGTGCTGCCACACTAATCCTCGTCTCCAATTTGTACCACAGAAAATAATCGTGTGAAAGATGGTGCTAGAAACTTGAATTAATTACCTACATAAGCTTTCATATCTTGGCATGAACCATTATAAAATATAGGACAAAATCTTAGTCAAGATCCAAGTGTAGATGACAGATAAAATAGCACCAACTGGAATGGTAACTACCCAGGAAGCCACAATCTCCTTCACAGTTTCTGATCTAACCCTGTTAAGTCCCCTAGCAAATCCAACACCCATTACTGCACCTACAAGAGTATGGGTTGCTGAAATGGGTAGCCCAAGTTTTGAAGCAAACAGAACCACAGAGGCAGCAGCAAACTCAGCTGCAAATCCTCTAGTTGGTGTAAGTTCTGTTATCTTCTTTCCTATAGTAGCAATCACTCTATAACCCCACATCATTAGCCCTGCAACAATTCCAAATCCTCCCCAAGCAAGAACATCAATTGGAATAACAATTTCAGTTCCTGCGGCACCACCTTGAAGAATAGCCAGTGCACCTGCCAATGGACCTATGGCGTTGGAGACATCGTTTCCACCGTGAGCGAATGACATGAAGCATGCTGAGAGGACCTGCATGTACCCAAAAACTCCATAAACTATTTCCAATTGAGTACCCTTTGGACCTGCAACATCGGAGAGGAATCCTATGCTTTGGTGGACAGTTTCTTCTTTTGCTTCAGGCTGTGGAGCATTTGACTTGACAAGAAGATGTCCAAGCTGTTTTCTGATAATTCTGTCAACCAGAAAAGCACCAATAGTTCCACTGGCTAAAGCCTGGGTCAGAGCTAAAGGAAACATCTTGCTAAGAGGGAAGGCCACAAAAGAAATCCCCGTTACCCCAAGAAATACAGCAATTGGTGCTGCAGCAGCTGCTGCTTGCCCTGGGTTTGGTGCACTGTACACAAACTGAATTGGGGAAAAGATTAGTTGGTTGTATGACAAGGAATTTAACATAGAGAAAAACTTGGTACCATTTCTGGTTATAGTGTTCTTCAGTCAGAATTAGGGAAGTGTTATATTTCATCTTGGTAACTACTACCAATCTTTGATGCAGCCATCGATTTCATCTCAATAAATAAAATTGGCAACTTGGTAACCGGTGTTATATTTCGTGGTTAATTTTGATTAGAAAATAATACCATTTATACTTATGGAACTATATTTAAGTTTTGTCCTTGGCAATTTCAAAATTTGAACAGAGCAGTTTACGTAAGTCTTCAAGATGCAAAAATGTCTAGAAAGTTGTCACACCTAATGATAATAATACTTATGCTTCATTGCAACATTTGAGCAGGAAGAGTATTTGAGCTTAATTTTGAGGTATTGTCAGTATAAACAAGTTTTACATTGTTCCATCCCAATAATGTGTTTCCACATCATTCAACGAGTTTAATAACATGAGTTGTCAAACTCAAAAAATAACATCATGGTGTAAAACTTGTTTACATTAACAATGATTACCAGTTAAATTCTAATAATTTTAGACTTAAATGCTTTTCTTTTGTATTTCGATTGCTTTTTCTAGACTACCTCTGAAGCCAAATAGCAAAAAGTTAAAACCCTGATCATTTTTCATATTACAGTAAGCATGTTGAACTAACAAGCTTACCCTTCGGATGCATTTGTAGACAAGAAATGACACAGCTGCCCCCATTAGTGGTGAGACAACCCATGAAGAGATCACCCTTGCCAGAGAACCCCAGAAAACAGCTCCAGCACCTCCATAAGCTAGACCAAACCCCACCATTGCTCCCACTATACAATGGGTAGTAGATACTGGCCAACCATAATATGATGCACACTGCATAGCACAAAAGCTCAATGAGAATAACTATTATCTTTCCAAAAATGTTATAAGCAAATGAATTAGTTCCTCAGTGACTCAGAAAGCTCAATGAACAGGTCCAGATAGTACTATTACTATATATTGCTTTAAAGAAGCAATGAGCATCTAACACCAGTAGCTTCAAAGTCCAACCAGTAAGATACAAGACTTGTCTTTGCTAATAAAACTTCAAATTCGTTCTTTCCACTTTCGTCAATCACTCAAAAAGCACAATTTTGTATGGAAATATCAAGGAATTTTAGTTTCAAAAGTATACATTCATCAATCTTAATGATGCTTTTTTTAGATCCTGGTACTCTCCAACTACGTCAACACAGCCTACACAATATCTCGTATTGAAGGGGAAAATAAAATACTCTTAAGCAGCAGCTACCAACTTGTATGGAAAAAATTGCATTTCATATTTGTGCTGCATATCAACAGCCACGCGGTACACAATATCTTGAAACATACTAGTATCTTGACATTTTAACATTGCACATTAAGGTCTACGAACATATCAATGTCTTAAAGATAACAGGTTACTAATGGCAAAAAGAATCACATTTTTCCTTGCCTTTGAAATTACAGCCAGGGAACTGTATGGAGTGAACGAGCCTATCAGCCTAATATTCTTTCTAAGTCTAATTTTCTAACCCAATCTAGAATCCTAAAGAGATTTTTAAGAAACCAGTTCTCTTGACGTGCTAGCAGGAACCATTCCAATATCACAAAGACAGATTAAGATTCTTTGAAATGTTAGCAGAACTAATAAATAACAGGTGAAGGAAAATAGTTAAGTAAGTTTACCTGTAACCAAGTACCAGCAGCAGCAAGTGAAGAGAGCAACCCAGCAAAAAGAAGAGAGTCCTTCCCATTGAACACATTAGCAACGAGGATCCCCTTCTGCATCGTGCTTGTCACGTGCGTTCCCATCATCAGTGCCCCCGAAAACTCCAACACTGCCGCTGTTAAAACGGCTTGCCTAAGCGTCAAGGCACCCGAACCCACCGAAGTTCCCATTGCATTTGCCACGTCATTAGCACCAATGTTCCAAGCCATGTAGAACCCAAACAAGAGCGTTGCATAGGACAACACCTTCATCTTCAGAGTCAAACCTTGTACCACCGATGACATGAACAAGGGAAATGTTAGAACCGCCAATGCCATGCATATTGATATGGCTGATGCAATGCCCGATGATACGTTAAAGGCTTTTGCAATCCCAGGCAATTCATCTTCACACTGTCCATTGTTTGGTCCTGCATCATGCTCGTGCTCATGCTCATGCTGATGATGATGGTGGCCTCCTTCACCTTCAGCTTCTGCAAAAGATGATAAAGTCGCAAAAGGGTGTGAGAGTTTGCATGTTCTGAACCTGAGAAGGCCAAACGAAGCCTTGGTTATTGGCGGTGGAAGGGAAATAACAGGCTTGACATGGTTACACTCTTTGACAAAGGTTTGGCAAGTGTTTTTGGAGAAGTGGGTGTGAGAATTTCGAAGGAAAGAAGGGGGAGTTGTGTGTTTAGTTGAAGAGAAGCGACAAGAGAGATTCATGATATAAACAATGAAAAATGATAGAAGACACAAAGGGTGTGCTTATTTTGGAATCTGTGAGGGATTATTCAAGAAGATTCTTGGCCATGGGGAAGTGAAGAGGAGTAGGAGTAGGAGTAGGTGGTGGTGGTGGAGAAAGAGGGAAGGGAATGTGGAAGAGAGCATTGTGAAGGGAAGGAGAGGTGAGAGTGCATTTGGATGCTTGCTTTGTTGGTTGATGGAAATGAGTGGTCAATGGTGTTGTTGAGGTAGCAACTCATTCTCACCAACCATATATCCATACCAACAACAAAATAAAATATCGTTCAGAAATTTTATGGTTGAAAGTGGAAAAAGGAAAATTCCGACACACATTATCGTGAAGTTAACAGAGTATGACATGTAGTGTCTCTCCTCGTTACACGTCTATAGATTGGCTTTGCTTTTTGGTTCCGTGATTCTTTCTTTTGTTCCGTCTCGATGTGATTCTTTTCCAAATATTCTTACTTTTATTTTTCTGTTTTTCAAGAAATTATGCCTTGTTTAAATACGAAGAAATAATCAGAAATTGAGGGAAAACGTGACAATAATATATTTTTTTAAATAAATTGACTGTAAAAATAATTTTAAGACCTTTTTCTTTAATTCAAATTTCCACTTTTTCTTATTTTCTATTCAATTCTTATTTCCACTTTGAGTATTTGCAATAACTGGCCAATATTTTTACGTGTTATGATTTTTATGTGTATAATTCTATACTTTCATATAATAAGGAGGTGTAGGAAAATTCGGGAGGAAATTTGTATAAAAAAGTTGTAAGAAGAAAATATAGGTAACTTTGGAATCAAAACAATTAAAATTTTGGAAGACTAAAATATTTAATTTTACATACAGAGAATACAAATATATTTAAGTCTTTTACGTATTTTTAATGTAAATCATATTATTTTATCTTAAAATATGTTTGAACTCTTTTATTTCTATTAATTAAAAAGTATTTTCTTCTTGAATTTTCTATTGAGAGATAAAATATATTTAACTTTTAAAGCATCTTCTGCAAATAAAATTTTTAATGTTAGTGAATAATTATAAATGATTTAAATTGTTTTTTCTTACAGTTCATTTTGCATACATATTATAGATTTTTTAATTTACGAGATGAAGTAATATTTTTTGAACATCGCTACAGCTTTAAAATTTTACCTAAAACGTTTATCTAATTTTAAAAATTATAAAAGTAATAACACAAGTTCAAACTAGTTATCCATAATATCTAGACTCAATAGATAAAATTTATTTCTAAAAACACGACATAGTATAAAATAAATACAGCATATATCAATCACTAAAAAAAGATAATATAATATTTTTAAATAGAAAAAACTGTAGCTTAAGAATTAACGAAACAGAGGAGTGTAATTAAAGTAAAGAAAGAAAGCAACTCCTTATTTTCGACTTTTGCATGATACTTATTGTTAGAGTTCTACCTTTGTATAGTGGGCTTTTATGTTCTTCGAGTCTGGCTTTAATGGGCTTACAATTGGTGATCAAATTGTTATTGGTAATGGTCCTAAAGATAGACCATGTTTGTTGACAAAAAAATGGATAATGTTTAATGACCAAAAAGAACATCTTTGGACCAGGTAAGCTGCTCAACCCAAAGTATTTGTAGGATCCCATTATCTTTTACGTCTTTATATTTACAAAAAGAGGATGGCAAAAAGCAAATTGTTTTGAAAAGTGCTTCTATAGGCGGCTATAAAAGCAATGGCCAATTGGCCATGACCAAAAACGAGATGCGATTGCCCTAAAGAAAATATGTTATAAATAAAATATATAGAAATATTTAAAAATAATTTAAGAATAAAAAATTACAATTAAAATAGATAATAGTATTTTTAGTCTAAAATAAAATACACATACAAAAAATAGAAATAAAACACTCTTCCATAAAAAAGTTAAAACAGATAAATAAAAATTTTCTAATTAAAATAATTCAATATAAACAATTATACACATAAAAATTCCTTAATAATAAATTTTCAAAATTTTCTTTCTCTTAACTAATTTTTATTTAACAAATTAACTAACTTTAGATTTTTTTTACTTGACGTTTTTTTTAGTTTGACTTTTTTGTTCGTCTTTTCTTTCTCTTAGTTTTAGGCGCTAATAAAGCTGTACTTTTGCAGTCTTAGTCTTAGTGAGAACTTAAATATATTTAAATAAATTTTAAAAAATAATTTTTATTTAAATTAAAAAATTCACTTAAACTAAAATTGTAAAATATTTTTAAATTTTATTTTTTTAAAATATAAAAAATTTAAAAAACTTTTGTATAAGATTATTAGTGTCATATTACAAAAATTTAAGATCTCGTATTATAATATTATAATTATTTTTTATAATCTTTATCATCATTATTAATAATTTAATTTAATCTAAATAGTTATATATCACCCATGCTTAACACAAGTAAATATTTTGAACTTAATAAAAATTATTTTTCTATTAAATTAGTTTAAGCGAATTTCTTTTATTTAAATAAAAATTATCTTTTTCTCAATTTATTTAAACGAACAAAATTTGTTTAAATAAATTTAAATTGTTCTCACTTAAACTGCAAAAAACTTATTCAGTTTTTTTGTTATTGTCTCTGTATTTCTCTCTCCAACTCTGGGGTCCTAGGGGCTAGCACATTTTATGGAGACTCGTCATTTAGTTTTTCCCCTCTAAAAGACGTGAAGGGAGCTATGTTTTTAAATTCTTTTGGCTTTGGTCTTTCAAGCCCCGCACCCACCCACACACACAGACAGACGAGAGTTCTTCATAATTTCAATTCTTTTTTGTTTTAATTTGAAAAAGGACAAAATTTCTCATTTGACTCTGATACAAGAGTTTAACATAAGTTTAGCCACCAAAACACTCGCTGGGCACAAATAAGGCATCTTCATTCACGTACTGTAGAAAATTCAAAACTGAAACTTTGGTATATTTTTGTTCTTCTTCTGACTCTCAATGATGTGGTAAAGAGAATAAGTTACTTGCCAATTTTTATAGAAATATAGCTCGAGGTAATTCAATTTTTTTTTTCCCTTTCACTTTGATTCTTTTGTCTTCTTTTTTTACGTTTTGTTTTGCATCATTTTGGTGATGAATTCTCTAGCACCCATTAATGTTTAAAGCTTCAAAATTGAGTCTTCGACGTGAGTTTCCAATTTTTTGTCATTTTCAATCATGCTTTGTACACTTGTTGCCTGTGGTGGGCATGAAAGAACAAATTTGTGTGCTACATTATTCATTTCAATTTCTTCTTCACGTGATAATATATCTGAATATGCAATACAAGATGTTACACGGTGAATCACTATTTAAGTGAAGCAACTAAGTAAAATCCTTTTCATTTTAATGTGTAATAATTTTACTTTTATTTTTTGAAAAATACGAAAAAAATTTTAAACAATGAAGTTTTTTATCTTCGATTCTCTAAGTCCATTTGCTTTGTTGCTTTCTTGTATGCTAAAATTTGTTACTTCATTGATGGTGGTAACGTATACTTCTAACTTTTATTTCACATGCTTATGAACATGTTTCTTTTCATTCTTAGCTAATGGTTTAAGCTTCTACGTATTTGTGAGGATGTGATTATGAATTTGCAACAAGAATGAATCTTTTTTATTTTTTTTAGAGATAGTATACATGCTCCTTTCAATCAATTTAATAAAAATGTTTTCTTTGTCTTGATAGTCCTATTTTTTATTTTATTTTCATTGGATTATAATTTCCAACAATTGTTTAATGTTCAAAATGATGATTATTTTAACTCCCAAGTTACTCCCATTTTAATATATCTTTCAAAAGGTTTCTTATTTTCTGTTCTTCTTTTCAACCTTTAGACACTATGCCTCCTTTTAACTTTATATCTTTCAAAAAAAGTTTTCATTTCAAAACTATGACAGTCTTATTTTTTTTCATCGGAGAATATGTACATTAAGGATCAAATTTTATTGAATTCAATTATTTTAAAATTTATTTTTTCTTTTATTTATTAAATAAAATATCAATTTTAAAAATGAAATACTTTTATTTTTACACAATTTATGATAACAATTTTTATAAACATTGTGAAAGAATTAATATCTTTCACATGCGTAATTAGACTCTTGAACTATGTCTGAGCATATCAATTTATTTTTCAAAGTTCTCTAAAATTCTTTTAAAATACTGATGAAAACTCCTTGAATATCTTTTTTCTTTTTTCTTTTTGTTTTTTATTTGCCAATTTCATACTTTCCCATCACGACTTTGGTTGTGACATCATTAAATATAAATTATTTTTTCAGTTTCATGCAAAATTATCAACCCATTTATTCAAAATCTAAAAATCTCCAAACATTTCCAAATTTATCCTCTAACTTAAAACACATAATTTTAAATTTCTTATTCCATTTCTAAAACAATATATGTTAGAACCAAAAGTATTTTAATTTTTTTCCCCCAAAACTTTGTTCTTAACGTAATATTTAAACATATAATATCTCTTTTATTGTCAAGGTCTTTTCGGAAAAATATATAAGTAAGAGCATTTTATGGACCAACGATCAAGAACCATTTGATGAAATAATGATCAAGGATTAGCTCTTAGAAGACAATGACACTTACCAATACAAAAGAAAGTCTCTTTAAAAAAAAGTACAAAGCTCACATGTTATTTAAAGAGTATAAAGATAAAAGTACTTGTTTCTTTCAACAACTCATGTTTCCTTTACCTACAATGAATCTTGCATCATTTATAGTTCTCCATTAAGTTCATCTAGTATACATTTTATTGCTAATGTTTGTGATATACTAATTGGATCGATTCCTAATTCTCAAATTCCATCAATTTTTCATACAAGTGGAGGTGGAAAAATGTTATACATGTTTGAAGAAAGAGAAGAAAGTAATGGTAAACAAATTCTAGAGCAACATTCATCATCACCAAAGAGGATAAAAATTCAATCATAAGTTAATGTCTCAAAGGGTACAATTGTAGGAGTCGATCAAAAGGCAAAAGCATTTGACAAAGCACCAAAGAAAATTATAAATGACATTGCAATAATTTATGTGAAAGTAAAATATTTCATTATAAGCTTGACCACATAGGTTGAATATATTTATTTAAAAGTTTATCTGGTGTGACATCTTTAAATTTGTAATTCAGTATATTTAATAGTTTAGTTGAAAACAGTAAAAATTTTTGTTTCTTTTTATTATGTATGTGCAATACATAAATAGAAGAAAACTAAAACTATTTTCAATAAATAACTGTTTATAAATTATTTGAGGCTGTAAAGTAAGAAAAGTAAATCATAACTAA